AACTATTTAAAATGGGAAAAAACAAACAAAACTACATAAAAAAGCCAACGATCTCAGACTGATTTCTGCTTCATGACATGGAATACGAAAAGCAAGAGTGTCCAGGAAAACGCCTAGGTCATTCTGAGAGGCAAAGACTTTCCCCAGGAATGCTGGACCTGGCTAAAATGTGGTATATAAGGCTGGCAACACAGCACCCAAACACTCCTTCTGCGCTAGCCATTCTCTTTGCCTGTTCTCATCAGGAACCCTATGTTTACTGTAGGCTGAAAAACCCGGACTACAAAACAGCAGCAATAAAAAAATTAATGCCTCTTCCTTACATTAAAGCAAGTGACAGAAACACGAGTGGAACTGTGTCCCTGCATCACCCCTGCTGACCAGCTCCCTCCTGAACTCAGATCACGGCGGGGGCCCCCTTCCCACACCCGCTCTCCAGGCCTGTGGTCTGGGTCCTTTCCTTCATCTCAGCCTACTTCACGCTCTCCTTCCTTCAGCTCCTTCCCCAGTGTGTCCCTGTTGACCCTTCTGGGGCCACAGTCACACAGAACCAGCCGAACAGCACCTGCCCCCTCTTGACTTCATCCCCGTGCAACATTCATCACACAGAACACAACTGCACTCACCGGTTGTGTCCTCGCTCTATGAACACACCGGGAGAGGAGGCATTCTGCCAGTTCCCTCCTATCTCAAGAGCCTACACAATTAGAGGCTCAGTTATATTGTTGGCTGATTAAAAATGTCTGATTACAAAAATAAGTCAAAATACGACAATTTCAACAAAGCATTTGACACAAGCCTTCATTATTCTCATTAGTGATATTTCTTAAAAACATAAACAAATGAAAAAAAAAAACATTTGGGCCCGGCATCGTGGCCTAGCAGCTAAAGTCCTCGCCTTGAACATGCCAGGATCCCACATGTGCACCGCTTCTAATCCCGGCAGCCCCGCTTCCCATCCAGCTCCCTGCCTGTGGCCTGGGAAGGCAGTCAAGGACCACCATCTGGCTTTGGATCAGTGCAGCACTGGCCGTTGTGGTCATTTGGGGAGTGAACCATTGGACAGAAGATCTTCCTCTCTGTCTCTCCTCCTCTCTGTATATATCTGACTTTGCAATGATAATAATAAAAAAACCATTTATTTGTTTTTATTGGAAAGGCAGATATACAGTGAGGAGGAGAGACAGAGACAAGATCTTCCATTCGATGCTTCACTCCCCAAGCAGCCACAACGGCTGGAGCTGAACCAATTTGAAGCCAGGAGCCAGGAGCCTCTTCTGGGTCTCCCACACGGGTGCAGGGTCCCAAGGCTTTGGGCCGTCCTCGACTGCTTTCCCAGGCCACAGGCAGGGAGCTGGATGGAAAGCGGGGCTGCCAGGATTAGAACCGGCGCCCATATGGGATCCTGGCGCGTTCAAGGCAAGAACTTCAGCTGCGACACTATCACACCGCGCCCTCATTAGTGATATGTCCTATCCCAAGTGTTATGATAGGTGATGAATTAATATCATAGGGGTCATGGGAAACAGCTTGGAAGAATTAGCCAAATTTAAGGTTTATGTGTAAACACACCAGAAATAAGCCTGAGACTCATCTCAGTAAAATTTAGACAGATCAAAACAAGATGAAATGAATGTAAAATGGGTGTACAGTCTGACAGGTAAACATTGTAAAACAACATGGTTTTTTCTTCTAATTCCTCCCTCTCCGTCTCTTCTGCTGACTTCATGTCTCCCTCAGCAATCACCCCTGGGTGTCCAGGCTCTGGAGCTCATATCAGCACCATTCTCTGTGGACAACTTCCCAAGTACCATCCTTTAGTGCCATGGTTTTATCCAACACCTGTATAACATGTGCGAGGACACACACACACACACGAGAACTCTCCTCTTGAATTGACCCCGTGGAAGATACAGGACCAAGAAGGCAAGCACACCTTCCACACTCAGGCTGTTTCTCTTTAAACCATGTGTCTTTGACACTGTCTCCCAGTGTGTCTCTACCAGGCTAAAGGCAGCACCATGGCATAGTAAGCTAAGCCTCCACCTGCTTTGCCAAGCATCCCTTTGGGTTGTTCTGTCTTCTCCACTTCGACCCAGCTCCCTGCTTATGGACATGGAAAGCAGATGAGAATGGCGCAAGGCCTTGAGAGACCCAAAAGAAGCACCTAGCTTCTAGCTTTGCATCTGCTTAGCTCCAGCTATTGCTGTCATTTGTAAAGTCAATTGCCAGATGAAAGACCCATCTCTCTCTCTCCCTGTAACTCTGCCTCTCTAATAAAAAATCTTAAGGAAAGAACTTCTGGAGAGATTCCATGCCTAAACACCCTCTCCATGAAGCAATTATTCCAGAAAAGGTGCAGGGAGGAGAAAGAGCCCCTACCCCAACTCCAGTTGGAATGCAGACACAACTATTTCAGATACACTTTATTCATTAAACTTTGCTAGCATGCTTACTACTTTAAAAATATGTATATGTGCATGTGTCAATTGTGTTCAACTCTCTCCCCCAACACCCTGCTTACATATGAACCCAAACGTTGTTCGGGTTGCTCATGCTGTGTCTCCAGACCTTCAGAACACTGTCACATGTCAACTGAATGGCAGATAAGGGAGAAGACAGAGAGGGAAGGAGGAAGAGAATAAGAGAAAATACTACAGAGGAAGGAATAAAAAAGTCCATACATCTGACCTCATAAATACACACAGCAGTCTGCTAAAACTCCCTTAGGAACTAATTCTCCCTGAAAAATACGAAGATCCAGTTTCCAAACTAAGGTATCGGTTACCTTACCTGAGCGCAACTTCCTGGAGCTGGAGAGCTTGCTGGAGCTGAGGCTGTGCAACTTTCAGTCACTGCAGTCACTCACGCAGACAGACAGTGTTTCAGGGAGCCTGCTTGCCTCGGGAAGTGCTTCCCACTAGTCAGAACAGCCTGCGTGCTCTGCAGGCCCCTCCTGCAGGGCCTGCTTGCTGACCGAACACAAGCCCTGACCCTTTGGCCCCCTTACTCAAACAGCTGCTGGAGAGACACCCAAGTCTTGCTCTTAGTTTAACCCAGTGTTATGCCAGCTCCTTCTGAGAATTAGGCTTGGCAGCAGAGAGCAGGCCCAGGGGTGCACTCAAGAAAGAACTTGTAAGCACCTGGCAGCAATGCCCTTCCAGACGGCAGCTCATGTAGTTAGCACTGCTCAGAAAGGTACTTGCTCCAAATGTGATCTAAGAGTCCCACAAAGGAACTGCAATGTATTCATACATTGCTATTTTTAACAGCCTTAAAAATAGTGTGTAGCATTATCAGCCACAACGGCCAGCAGGCCAGCTCTCCCCTCTTCACCAGGAAGGAAGCAGCAGTCCCTGCACAGTGCAACTCTGAATCCAGGAGGCCCTGGGGCAATGCTTTGCAGAACTGAGAATATATACAGCCGTACTAAATAAAAGGTTTACCCTCTGCCCTTATATCTTCTCTCCAAACACAATATGATTTGTGAGTGAAGCAATGGTAGGAAAGTGCAAAATGTGTGATGCTACCACACTACAGCACCAAATCTCCATAACCCGGAGGAAGGGCTAACAGTGTGTTACACTCCGAGGCAAAATTCTCAGCCTAGTACGCATCCGAAGTTCAGCTCTAACTTTGTTGTCAACAAACGGGATCTCAGAAAACATGAGGATGGACTAGAAACACCAAATGGGGCCTTGCTTCTCCAATCTCCCTCCAAAGTAACACCCAAGCCAAAGACCCCTATAAGGTGGAAAAGGCTGAACTGAGAACATGCATTTCCATATATTGCTCTTAGTCTGGGTTCACACACACACGTTAAACAGCAGCTTCTTGATCTCTTATAAAATGCATGGCACTAATTCAGAGATTTGCACAAGCACCGTTGCCAACACCAATACCCTGTCGGCATTCACCTATGAAAATCCCCCTTATTCTTCACACTTGATTTTTAGCGTCTTCTGTTGCACCTAGAAACTGCCACAATTCTACGCTGACCAGTCCACCTGCTGACTCATTCTAGGGCCCCCAGACTTGAGAATTACCCAACAGCAAATTCTGTGATAAGAAAGTACTCTGAAGGAGCCCCGGGGAACCCTCGCAGGTGAATCTGGCCGTCACCCACAGAGGAAGTCTTCCCTGCACTGGCCCTCATCTGTTTACATCATTCTTTCTTTACATGATTCAAAGTCAAAGATCCATGTGCATGAGAGGCCATTCAGTTAACTCCCACCTCTCAGTAAAGAGGGTTCCCTTACATCACACTGAATGAGACACAATTCAGACTGATGGTTTTCATTAGATAATTCACATCTAGAATCTTTACATGGGTTTAGGATGCAAAGTACCTTTCTCATATGTAACTTTGCTGTCCTAAACACAGTTTGTCAAACACTTTTAACACTCGTGCCCTGTAAGATGTAAAGTTATTTAAGCCTCCTAATGTTAAAACTAGGTAAGATACAGTTCTAAAAGCGCCAAGCAATGCGGTGCCCTGGATACATGAGCTTTAATCCTCTGTACTCCCAAAAAAAAGAGGGTACATGAACTGGCAGGCAGCCGCTGTGCAGCCACAGCTCAGCGGGGGCGGGGCAGAGACTGAAACATGGAGACCTCTGCTCCTTGCCAGGGAGACGGCGTCACGTGAGGTGTGAGTCCAGGCTGCTTCACTGGCTAGCTCATCAAGAGGCACCAGCAATCCATTATTATCAGGAAGCCACTCCATTTCTAAACATGGGCCACTGATTCAGACAGCTCCACGCACGCGTGAACATCGGACACAATGCAGCTGGCAGCCAGGTCCATCTCTAAAAGTGTCCCCCTGGCATCCTCTCCACTGATGGGGTTCCTTCTCCACAATGCTTGGGAGAGGGTTCTCTAGTTCTGCTACTGTTTGTCCCAATTGCAAAACTCTGAGTACACTGAGAAGATACGCACAGCAGGTTGGCAATGCGTCCTGTCTCACGGTAGTGCAGGTAGAAAAGAATCACGGTACTTACCCTGCTGACTTCCTTATGAGTCGATTCATCTGTGGGGTCAAGAAGGGAGGAAAAACACCATTAGGAACTCTGAGTAGCCACAGCGACAAAGCCTGTTATCTGCTCTCAACAAACTCAAAGGCTCCATTCCTTTTCGATGTAAAAGGTTAAGCATAACAAATCTAGAGTTGGAGTACACACGAACTTCAGGGAGGAAATGAAATACAATGGCTTTCTCCAGGTTATTTTTTAAAGAAGTTTCCAAAAGGAAAAGCCTGTATGTAGATAACGCTACCCAACCACACGTAAACCCTACCTGGGATTTATAACACCTCGAGACTTCCACAAGGGGCACCACACATGAGCTTTCCAAGGAACCACTGACACGTACGGCCCCAGCTATTTCTCTGAAATGAGAAGTGTGCCTGCATGGTACTCTGGCTGGCCAAGTGCTGCCTATGGGACCCGCTGGCAGAATGCAATGAAGACTTCCAGTAGGCAGACTCTGAGTGGCCCAGGCTCAGTGCCCTGGCTCTGATCCACACAGCGTTCGTATGCAGCTCTGACAGGGAGGTCTACCGGAGCTCAGCTCCAACTCTCCAGATCCCCTTCTGCAGGGGGCGCTTTCATCCAATGCTGCTGCCACACTGTACCTTTTTCCCTGCAACAAATCATGGCTTTGCAAGGTGTGTTGTTTTGGGAAACCACTTGTTCAACATGCATGTCCCTCAGTATGTTCAAAGTGAACTTGCCTTGTGTCACACCAAAGCACAGCCTAACTTATTCTGACACAGCCCAAAACATATCTCACACCACTGTTCCAGAAACCCAGACAAGACTATCACTTTACTTTTTCCCTCTAAGTCCATATCTACTAAATCACAGAATCTTACAGTTTCCTCTCTGGTTTGCTCTTCACCCCCTACGTCCAGGGGTCTAGACCCGAATCATGCATCAGCAGGGAGCATCAGAGCTGACCCCCGAGTCCAGCAGTTTCACTGGAAACAATGCCTACAACAGGTGGCAAGTATGAAATGACTTTTCTTTCTTCCATAGCCTCAACTCCCTAAACCATCTCACTCAAAAATATTCTATCCAGTATACCCCTCAAATGCATAAGACACTAAAATACACTAGGTTTCAGCACTGGATATACATTGACTTAAATGGCAAACTTATCAAAACCTAACAAGCTCAGCATTATCAGCTAATAGTAGGCACTCAATAAACAGTGCCCATCTATTTTAATATTGCAGAATCAACACATATTAATTTATGAGTCTTATCATAATGGTCATATAAGGTTTCAAGTATTGCATCTGAGTTCCCTAAGAACGTTAATAGTGTTACAGGAAAAACTATATTTTATCATCTACATGGAAGTCGTGTCGCAAAAGTATTGTACTTGCTGTTCATCTCTTAATGTTTTTGAATCCCCTAGACCATTGTGAAGACAGGACTGTCTAATGCAACAAAACTGTTATAAATGCTAGAGCTATAGCAGTTAAAATGGTTTGGATTACTACAAATCGGAATGTCACCCTCCAGTTCAATTCAGCTAAAAGGTCCAGCCATGTGTAAATCAAGGTTCCTTCGATGTCTTCCACTAGTCTTGTTTAGTTCAAACTCCTGAGAGTATAACAAATGCCCTACTTGTATATATTTACACAACCATTTTTAATGGCCTAAGTATTTTTTAATTAAAAAAATTGAAGGAGAAATTTTGCCTATAGCTGATTTCTAGAATTTTTTAATCTTATGAGGTGATCTAGAAATCTGCTTTCTATCTCTTCATGCAAATTAGCAGTCAATGTTTATTCAATGAATCCCAGTGTGGATTCAATGAATGCAGTAGCCTGGTTATGAGGAAATCAGTGAGTTCAGCACAATGTTCTAGAATAAGGGAACACTACAGCACACACCCTAGCCTTGCATTTACACACAGCTGGACTCTTGCTCGAGACAGAACCTTTAGCTCATCCTCCACAGTGCAGCAGAACGCAGGAACCTGGAAGAGGAGCCATCACTAGTGGGACCCAGAACCCAAACTACAGTATGGAGCCCAGACCACAGCAGCTGACAATACTACCTTGAGGAAGGCACCCTGCTTCTTTAAACTCCTTACAGAATTGAAACGAAACATTTGCCTCTTTCCCTACCACTCTGCCTTTTAAATAAATAAAACAAACCTTTAAAAACACCTTCAAGTGCATTAAAAAAGGAAATGCCACCATATGTCACTAGTGTGCTACTTTATGAGGTTAACTTAATGTACAGTTATTTAGAATAAAATAATTCAGAAAACTGTCCTATTCCTACCAAATAAGAAACTCTGTCATTTGCTTTGAATTCACACCTACACAGTCTGGACCTGCTGTATTGAGCAAGCGAGAACCCATCCTACACACAACTCCTCTGCACTCCAACCTGACCAATATCACCAGAGCCCAAGACACATCCCTGCTCAGGCTTAATTCAGTCTCTTCATTCCTTCCAGCAACATTTAGTGAGCCTGAGCATGGAGCTTGCCATCATACTCTGTGTTTACACTATCTCAGAAAACAATAACAAGGCAGAACAATGGCCCTTGTCTTCGCGGAGCTTCTACCTAAAAGGAGACCATGAGCAAAGTTGGCAAACAGCACCCTGGAAGTGGTAATGCTTTGGGACAGTAGAGTAAAGTGGAGCCAGTGTGGCAGGATCAGAGGCAATGAAGGTGCAGTGAAAGGTGATGACAGCAGCTTCTCCCAGGCTGAAGGCAGGTGCTCCACTCAGAGCTGCCACCCCCCGTGGAGACCCCCTATCGGTGTAGCAGGTCACACTCCTGCCTTCCCTGCTGCTTCCCAATGACCTTCAGATTTCTCTCTCAGAATTGCCAGACTCATTGAGCCCTCTTGCTTCAGAATCTTTAAAAATCCATAGGGAATAAACAAAGCCGGTACTGTAGGCAACAAAGAGAGGCCTGAGGTCAGACGAGATCTCCTTTCTAGCTTCTGCTCCATTTACCAAGACACTTCTGAACGTTGCTAATTTCGCCCACCCGATATTTATGCAATGATTTATTTAAGTGATGCTTGCGCTCAATCATGGACATAAATTTTTTGCACAGATTTGGCACTCAGTGAGTTCTAACCTTGTTCCTCCTCATTCAACCTGCTGGTAACTACATTTGGCCTTCCACTAGTAACTAGAAACTTGCTCAAGGAATACAAAGTTCAAGCAGATCTGCATAAATTACTGACACAAAAACGTCATCTTTCTAAATAATTGCCCTTGGGCTTGAGATTTTAACATTTTGTCATTTCTTATTACAATGTATGTAATAGCATATTCAGGATTTCTCATTACTTTGAAGTACCACCAATCTAAGGAATGCTACCTTAATTCAGTCAACAAACTTGGTTCCAAATCTATGAATCTTCCAGAAACAAACAGCCTACCACATCCTCTCCCCATCCTTCATGCTGTCCCTTTGGGACTGGCTTATGATCTCAAACACAACAGATAATACACTAACTTGTCTTGGCGTCTCACTCCCCACTACCTACCCTACAATAAAAGTTCAAGGAAGACAAAAAATGGTTCTCATTTGTAAATCTTTCTATCTGCAGTGCCTAAAACTGTAAACCACAAAACACACAACCCAGGAAATATCTGTTTAATAAATACTTCCATGCAAGACTACCTTACTGCAAGCTGTACTGAGTGCTTTATCTAGGATTAAAACAGGTTTTGCTTGTACTTGTATCTTCCCACAATAAAAATTTCCTTAATTCAAAAGCATTTTATATACCCAGCACTAAAGTACAAGCAAAACCAATCTGTACAATATAAGTGAAGCTACCATCATACTGAATGGAAAGTGTAATGGCCTCTGGACTGCATCAGAGAACTCATCCATAACATGACGCTGTGTACACCAGTTTATTAAAACTGTGAAGTGTTGGGCCCGGCGCGGTGGCGCAAGTGGTTAAGGTCCTCGCCTTGCACGCCCAGGATCCCATATGGGCGCCGGTTCTATCCCGGCAGCCCCGCTTCCCTTCCAGCTCCCTGCCTGTGGCCTGGGAAAGCAGTCGAGGACAGCCCAAAGCTTCGGGACCCTGCACCCGCGTGGGAGACCCGGAAGAGGCTGCTGGCTTCAGAGCCGTTGCGCTCACTTGGGGAGTGAATCATCGGACGGAAGATCTTCCTCTCTGTCTCTCCTCTCTGTATATCTGCCTTTCCAATAAAAAAATAATAAAAATAAATCTTAAAAAAAACCTGTGAAGTGTTGACAAAATAACAACCAATTAAAAATAAACTGAAATCAAAATGCCAAAATAAAGCCACACTGCAGTAAATTTTGAAATATTAAATGCTGCAGAAATGGAAACCAGAGTCCAAATGTAAAGAGAAGCTGAAGTTTTGAAGCATGTCACTGACAGGAAGGCAGCGGACTGCTCTTCAGGGCCCACGAGGGAAGCAGAGCGCTCACTAGGAGAAAGAAGAGAAGCAGAGGACTCTGACGGTCATGCAAAAGCTTAGAGGGAACAAAGTTTTAACTGGAGGTACAGGTATGACGTAATACAGAAATCAGCACCTCCCAGGGACGTCACAGGGATATTAAGATTTCATTGCCCATTACATTACTAATGTTCTGTTATTCCACTATTGCCGGTGAGTGAATGAAAATGGGGAGAGGCACCGATCATCAGCTGGTCATTCCTGATCACTAACTCCTTAGAGAAAGGCTGACTAGGCATACGTGTCATGTATGTACTGATAAAGCTAGGATGTGCACATCGCAAATATTTGAAGAAATCAAATATAATCTTCGAATGCTTTCAAAAGGCATGGGCATAAAAGTACAGTGTAAACTTGCACTGTCTTCCTTCAGTCTATGACTGACAAATGAACAAGGTAGAAAAACTAGGGAAAAAAAACAACAAATAAAAACAAAATTTAAGTCAATAATATGAAAACCAGATAAGCATTATTAAAAATTTTAAGTCTCGGGCCCGGCGCGGTGGCGCAAGTGGTTAAAGGTCCTCGCCTTGCACGCCCGGGATCC